CTCTTTGATTTAGCCACTAAGTTTTTGGTTGTCTTGCCATCGAACCAAGAATTGCTTCTTCCTAGACTGTATGTGTTTATAAGCACTTGTTTGCTCCGTCTCGTCTCCGTCTCCGTCTCTGTTTCCCTTCTCTCATTCTCTTCTTCTTTTTATCTATTCATCACGTGTCTCCCTTCTTTTTCTTATATTATCCTCCTTTCTCTTTTTATTGTGCCTTTCATCCCTTGTTGCAATATATGCTATTTGAAGAATGTTTGTTTACTAAGAAACCTTTGATCAATATTAATGTTGAGGGTGAATCTAACATTTCACATCCCTAACTAAACTAGTTTTGTCCTTGAAAATATTCTGAAACATTCAAAAAATGAAAATGCTTGAGTTAAAAATACAATTTTGTCATCTACTAAATCAAAATAAGTAGTGCATAATTCAGGCTATTTTGTTAATTAGTCTTTCACAACAGAATGATTTCATGTTTTTTGCGGATGAGAGGCTCTTACTATTAAAGGCATAATACCCAAAACCAATTGGTAATGGTTGAATAGGCCCGCCAACCTTATAAAGAAACCCTGGGTGGTCAAAATCTGTTGACTTGCATGGGATACAAGCTCCCTTTACACTCTCTATCATGTGGGTCTCGCGCCCGCACGTGGGCTAACAAACAAACTAGGAAACATGCATACCTGAGAATTTTAAAGGGTAAAACGCTTGTTCCATTGACCACTCAAGGTTGTTCTCCCAAATTCAACTGGCCCAGAAGGGAGAGACCCTTAATCATATAAACTAACCTTGGTGGTCTTAATCTTTTGATGTTGGATACAAGTTTGCTTACCATGCCCGAATATGGGACCTTGAGCACTATTTGTCAAGCCTCTTATTACAATTAACAAAAACAAGGAGAATAATTAGAAAATAGGAAAAAAAGCCAAGGGAAAGAGAGGGACGTAGAGCAAAACGTTTTCTCAAAAACGCTGGTAGTAGAATAATTTCAAAAATGCTGCCCAATCTCTCTTATATGTGGGGAAAGACAAGAAACAACTGAGTATCTTTTTCTCCTATTCCCATGGGTGAAAGAAGTGTGGGCTTTGTCCCCTCTACAGATTCATATGGATAGATGCCTAGTTTTTTTTTTTTTTTGTTTAATTGAGTCTTTCCAGTTTTTAAGGAATGAAATTGATGATCCCATTTGTGGACAACCACCCATAGCCTACCTTTGCTGGTTCATTTGGAAGGCATGTAACTAGTGGATTTATAGCCATCGCCAACTAAGATCAAAGAGGGTAATTAACCAAGCTCTTTCGTCTGTACAAGAGAGGCAGAATATGGCAGAAAAACAGAGGAAAGAATAGCCAAAAAGAATCCATCAGCCTGTTTAGGAAGCACCTCCTTTGGGCATGATAACTTTGAACTGTGATGGAGTTTTTTTTAGCTAAGACTCAAAGGGGATCGTATGCTATTGTAGCTTGAGACCACAAGGGGAGTTTGATAGCAGGATGAGCTGGAGCGATAGAATCTGCTTCACTTTTAGTCTCTGAGGTATGGGCAGTAAGAAAGGCCTGTAAAATGGCTTTGGAAGAAGGCTTTCCAGAAGTACAAATGGATTTGATTCTAAGGTTCTCATTGATTCACTTACCAAAGGGCAGGAAGCAATTTTGAGGGAGATTGAACCCATACAAAAGGATATATAGGGATATGCACAAGAGATCCCTTTCCTTGTTTTCAAACACATAGGTAGATCAGTGAACAAGGTAGCACACTGTGTAGCACAACAAAAGCAGGGAGGTAGCCTACCAGTTCAGTGGATCACCAATCCTCCGCCACATATTGTGGAGCTTATCCAAGGGAATCTCGACATGGAATAGGATAGTTTTTTCCTGCTTCTGTTTTGTTTTCTCCTGTTTCTGTTTTTGCAGTTTTACTTTATTGTATTTCGTTTGCATTTAGTGGTTAATATAATGACATCATATTTCATGACCCAAAAAAAAATTGTTTTTTTCCTCAAAGCACCAATTTAAACTAATATTTGTAAAACGTGCACATTTTTTCACCACTTTCATTTAGAAATTTTACGCGCGCGCGTGTGTGAGAGAGAGAGAGAGAGAGTTTTCTAAAATGACTTTCAGGCTCTGAAAATAAGTGAACAGATGAATAGAACTGAACTAGGAAAGAAACTAAGAAAAACAAAATGATTCAACAGATTTTTTTTTTGAATTTTTTTCGATTCTGCTCTGCTCTCGTTTTAAGTTTGTTAGGCCTATGTATGTTTTAGAAGACCCTGTAACAAAGTGAAATGTGCATTGTGCAGACACATCCTAGTTTACCGAGTAACTTGGAAGCCTTCAAATATCATATATTGCTGGAAAGCACCAACTTTGGATACATAATTTTCCTTATTCTGTTGTTGTGTCAATTGGGCTTGTTAAGGCATAGAAGACCACCCCTTTTGAATTATGTGGTGCATGAGGAGGCACTACGTGTATAATACTGTTCCTCGTGGCTTATTCTGTTGTTACATTGCTTTGCTGTTTTCTGCTTTGGCTGATGAGTACTTGGGGCTCATGCTTTTAGTTCAAGAAATGTTCACATATGTCTTTGTTTTGTTTGAAAATGTTATATCATTCAGCTGCATATAAAACTTGATGATAGGTATGGTCCACAAGAAGCTTGGTAAATATAAAGGCAGCATGGACTGTATTATCTTTTATTTTTTGCCTTCTCCCCCGGTCCTCCTCTGCCACCTCAAAACCTTGCTTTATCAAGCCAGGTTTTTATAAGTAGACTGATTTTATGTTACTCGCAAAATCTTTGTTGTAAATTTTTTTCTTTACTGTTGTATTTTTCTCCATGTCATTTGTGTAGAAAATTTGTGAATTTTGCTTTTATGTATCCCGTGGATACCTAGACGCATTTATTCATGTCAGTCCATGTGCATATGTATCTGGGGGTTGTTAGAGGGACCTCCTTTCTGCAAGCTTTATTCGACCTTTTTAAATCTGTGCACAAGTTTCTTTCACCTTTGACCTTGATAAATCTAACCGTCGCGATTCTACTGTTCTTAGTTTGCTTTTGAATTGCATGATGTCTGAGACTTATTCTTTAGGGATCAAGTTCATTGGGGCTCATGTATGTTAGTTATGCTCCCTGTATCCTAGTTATGAAGTGATTCAAGTGAAGTTTGGACTTGTCTACTGATTGTTTTATTGCAACAAACATTTTAACTCAACTCCTCCAGGTCGAAGTTCTATTGCCTGTAGGCCTTCCATTAGAAAGGGGATCTAGGAAAAGTAGTTTACTCTGTTTTTCGTAGTTTCCGTTGTGAGAACCACTTCCAACCATTATATTACCAAGAAGCAAGTGGATTTGTGTTGGTTTTGGTTCTTTCTCCCTGCTTCTTTTCCTTTCTTATCAACTTCTGTCATTCCTAACTGGTAGTTATGGACCTATGTTGTATGGATGTTTCCCATTTGACCCATCATGCTCGTCAAACTTAGTTGTCTTCATTTAATGAATTTCTCGGTGTTTCTCCATTTTATAAAGCTTCATTGGGTAAAGGAGAAGTTTCAACTTTCTGCCAATAATTTAGCCGTTTTTTTTTTTTTTTTGCCACTAATTGTTTGTGCCAGTGGATATATTTTTCCCTAACTATCACAGAAGCTCATCAACACTGGACAGATCAAGGACACACAGACGGGGCACATGCTAAGCTTCCTCATCTTTTTTGTTTTATTTTATTTCAATCTTTAACCCAGGGCACATGCTAAGCTATTGTCCTGTTGCTGTTTTTTCTCCTATAGAATGGCCCTCGGTATTAGAGAATATGCAAGTGGTATTAGAGAATATGCAAGTGGTTTAGCGCCAAATATTCTTTCTTAACATTAATTCATTGATTGACATGAGCTCACGTAACCTTGCCCATTCCTCTTCTTTTAAGAAGTGGCATTATGTATGTTCCTTATTCCGAGATCTTTGCCAGTTAGACATTTTGATTTGTCTTCTTGTGTGGTCAGTGAGATCTTAATTTCTGTCTTGCTAATTAAATATGTTGTCTCAGTTTCCAGTTTGGTAATCTGTGCGTGCATCTGATACACCTTGACATGGAAAAAAGGTAAAAATAGCCCTATTCCCATGGTGTGGCAGTAGCAACTCGTCTATATTGTTGCTGTTTTATTTTCCCCCTCTTTTGCGCTTCTTTTCTTTGGTCCTGTGTGGTCCAGGAAGTAATACTTATCCTTCAGCTCTTTTTACAACTTACCTGACACACCAGCTACCTGGTTTCATAAACTGTATAATTGGTCAGTACGGTTTATGGGTTCATATGATTCTATAAATGTAGCTCTGAAGTTTAGGCATGTGATGTATTTTACTTGACAAGCTGTCAGCATATTTGGTGACCATGGTTCTAGGGACTGCTATATATGCGTATCCCATATCCTGAGCAGTCTGGTTTATTTTTCTAACAGTTGAACTTTCTTTTTGTGCTGTATCTTTGTATTTTAATTTTTATGTTGTGTGCAGTGTTGTCATCTCAATTTATTAATTTATTCTCAAATCATCTATTATCAACACCTTCCCTACTTAATTCTGTAAAGGAACACGATATTCTATGTTAATGAATTGTCTCTAACAAGACACAAAGCAAGCATAACATTATTTATGCATTATTCACAATAAGTTCCTTGTGGTAACTGAGTTCATTAATTATGGCCAGCAAAATGTATTTGCTGCCAATAATCGTTTACTTGTAACTTCAATTCCCATGTGAAAAATTGATCACATCAGAGTGATTCCACTGCCAAATCCACTTTGAATTTGATAAATGCCTTACTTGTGAAGTATGTCTTCATGTACATCCTATAAATGTATGACTGTTCATTTACACCTACAGCATTCAAAAGTTTTCAACTTTGGTCTGTATAGTGTACCGTAAATGTTGCTTTGAAGTTTTTGCATGTGATGTATTTTACTTGAGATGTACGCATGTTTGGTGACCATGGTTCTAGGGACTGCTAGATATGTATTCTCAGCTGTCTGGTTGTGTTGCTCTAATAGTTGAACTTCCCTTTTGTGATCTATCTTTGAATTCTCAACTGTATGCTGTACAATGCTGATAACTCTTACTATTTAATTTTAATTTAGTTATGTTTTAATTATTGTTCTGAGGTTGACTCTATATATTTGTCACCAGCTTATGGGTTGTCCTGAAACTTCACTTTTTTGTGTATATGTTGGCATGACATGATGTGTTCACATTGCTGAATAATGTTTTGGAATTGTTATAGCACTGTACCCTTGACACTATCAATTTGATTTCAGAGAAAATCAAGCCTTCTGATGTAGGTCTTGAGCAGGAGGCACAATTAGTGCGCGGATGGACTGGTCCTATGCCTGTGCGTAATGGGGGACACCGGACGCTGCCACCAATCAAATACCTGCACTTACATGAATGTGATAGCTTCTCTGTAAGCGTTGCCTTTGAGGTTTATCATTTTATTCTTGTTCATTTTTTTGTATTCATACCTAGGACTTGAGCTTCACATTGGCATGCATCTTTCCTGTAGGGTCAAATGAACATCCTATGTGGGAAAGTTGGAGAATATATTGTTGAATTTCATTGGTTTTTTCCTTTTCTCGCAGATGGGAATTTTCTGCATGCCTGCTTCCTCTATCATTCCTCTTCACAACCATCCTGGAATGACTGTGTTAAGTAAGCTGCTATATGGTACATTACACGTGAGATCCAATGATTGGCTTGACATACCTGGGCCTTCCGATCCGTCTCAAGGTCTGTCCTGTGTAGCCAGATCTTATGTTTAATTATTTTTAGTCCTATACTAGTTTTTATTGTTATGGCAGAGACCTTTGTTGGCCTTATTGATAAGGCAATTGTTTCTTCTTACTTTATCATTTCAGCATATTGTTTCATTGAAGGACTGGGACAGAGATCTCACCATATTTTTTAGGGTAACATTATACTTTACCTACAAGTGGTTTGGGCTCTTTAACACTATTCTCTCTGTGGTTTGAAAATCTACACTTTACCCCTTTATAGTTTTGGACTATGGTGCGCCACAAGGGTTTCCATTAAACTTGATGGCCAAGGGTGAAAGGTGCAAGGTCAAAATTTTCAATGAAATAACATGTCAAAATGACTTATATCTTTAAGCATATTGTTTTTCCTCTTCTTTTCTCTGCAAAATAAGATACTTCCCCCCCCCTCCTTTCCCTCTCTATGCATAATATACTCTTTTAATTCGTGCAAATTTTTTAGGGACAAGAAAGTACTAAAAAACAAACACTGGAGGAGTATTATATTTTTCTACTAAATTGTTAACCCCGTTAACTATTATGCTTTATTCTAAAATCTAGAGGTCAAACTATTGGTTTTTAAACCATTTATACAATGTGGACTCAAACCACAGGAAGGTGCAGTATAATTTTTCCTTGGGAAAATTTCATCCACACCTTGTGTAATTAAGGTTTAAATTCAATAACACCACCTCCCGATTCTGAAACTTTACTGTCACCCCCTGTCTGTGTTTGTCGAATTACGGTTTTAATGGCGATTGTTAATTTTCAAAAATATTCCTGAATATTTTATAGGGTAAATTTTATCCACCTCATTGTAAATAGACATAACTTCAATGACACCTCATGTAAATAGACATAACTTCAACGACACCCCTGGAAATAGACCTATCTTTAACAATATCCCCTTTTGATTCAGAAATTTAAATGCACTCCTTTTTAGTTCTATTATATTAACTTTTAGATTCAATAATTTAATATTTAATTTTATAAAATTAATGTCCTTTATTTAATTTAAACTAATATTCTATCTCATCAAATCAATACAAATTGATATTTAATTTTATCAAATTAGAATTTAGTTATATTAATTTGATATTTTATTTCATCAAATTAATATTATTTATTTAATTTAACATTAAATTATTATTTAATTTCATCAAATCAACACTAAATTGACATTTAATTTTATTAAATTAAAATTTAATATATTAAATAGAATATTAAATTCTATTAATTTAACATTTAACCTTATCAAATTAATGTTAGTTATTTAATTTTACACCAAATGAACATTCAATTTTATTAAAGTAAGATTTAAATTTATTCAATTAACATTAAATTTTATTAAATCACCATTGAATTAATATTTAATTTAATCAAATTAATATTTAAATTTATCATATTAAGACCAAATTTATTTTATTAATATTAAATTTTATCAAATAATATTTAAATTTTATATATGAAGGTTGATACATGAAGAGTGGTCAGGTGACGTTATGGAGAACAGACGATAGTAGAGAAGTTAGAAATGAATGAAATTTTGACATTGATTTTATCGATTGTAATTTATTATAGAAAAAATACTTTTAACTATAAAATAAATTTAAAACTTTGTAATTTATAACGAACAATAAAAAATATACCAAAGAGGGAACTTAGGTAAATATAAGAAAATAAGAAACCGAAAAGTGTACCTTGTACCCAACAACTTATAAGAAAATGAGCTAAATGTTTTAAAAGTCAAAAGGTTGTTTTGGATGAAAAAAATTTGAAAAAATTTGTATGAAAAAAATTAAAACTATTTGCATGAAAAAAATTGCATGAAAAAATCAAAAATATCTACATGAAAAAAAAAAAAAAATTTGCATCAAAGAATTTTAAAAAATTTGCGTGCAAAATATTTACAAATTTATAAGAATTTTTTTTTTTTTAACCAACTTAGGTAGTGATCGATCATTGTGGAGAATGAGTTAAAGAATAATGGCTGGCTTCAGTCCCTTATGTCTTCCAGCAACCCTAGATAGTTTTGGACCTTCACAAACAACAAAAAGTGTGGTATATATAGTGGGAAAAGGGTTGAGGACATCTTAGTATATTTACATAAGCAAGAGTAGTTTTGATATTTTCAAAAAATTTATAGTCAAACCGTTACTTTTTTGTACTGACAGAGTTAAAAACTACCGTTAAGGGGATGTCTTTGATTTGAAAGAATAAATCAAATGAGGGTGCAGTGAAGTTTCAGAATCGGGAGGGGGTGTCATTGAATTTAGACCTAACTAGAGGGAGTATGAATAAAAATTTTCCTTTTTCCTATTTTCTATAAAGTCAAATTTCTTTAGAATCCAGAAAATATTTATATACACCGAGAATTGTTAATTTCAAGCTAACACTTCAGTATAGACATTTCTATTGAGAGGTGCCTTATGGGTAAAATCCTATATCAAGCTGGGCTATTAAGATATGAATGATAGGCTTTGTGATGATGACTAGATGCGCCCATTTGATCCTGTTATTATCTTAGTTAGATCTTCAATAAAGGATGACGAAGTTGAGTATGCTGTTGGTAGGTATTTCTAGCCTGTTGAATGGTGACCAAGCTATCTAGAATGTTAAGTTGAGAGAATTAACACAATATTAAAAGAAATGGAGAGTGGTCAAACTTAACCTACCTCTCATACATCTCTTGTATTTATAGTTAACTTACAATAATAAGAAAGACGAATACACCTTCTTATATTTACACATAATACCTTAATACTCTTAACAGTTTACACATAATACCCTAACACTCTTAACACTCTCTCTCAAACTGGATTATATATATCATATAATCCAAGTTTGGAACAAATTGTTGTAAGACGTGTATGACTCAATGCTTTCGTAAATATATCTGCAAGTTGATCTTCAGATTTCATAAACAGAGTCGTAATCTCCCTAGCAACTATCTTGTCTCAAACAAAGAGACAATCAACCTCAATATGTTTGGTTCTCTCGTGAAACACTGGATTGACAAGGATATGGATAGCTGCTTGGTTGTCACAGAACAACTATAAAGGAGGTTGAACTGAAAATTCAATTTTGTGGAGGAAGTGTAGTAGCTAAGTCAACTTACTCGTGATATGCGCCATTGCTATATATTCAGCCTCAACACTGGATCTTGCTACCACAGATTGTTTCTTACTTTTTTATGAGATAACATTATCCCCTAAGAAAGTACAATAACCAGTGGTTGATCTCCGATCAGAAGGAGAGCCAACCCAATCAGCATCTGAGAAACCTTCCACTCTAAGATGTCCATTAACTCGATATAACAGTCCAAGTCCAGGAGCACGTTTGAGATATCATAGAATACGAGTAACTGTCTCTTAATGTGGTACTCTAGGATACTCCATGAATTGACTTACTATACTGACTGCATAAAAAATATTCGATCGAGTAATAGTGAGATAATTGAGCTTCCCAACCAATCTACGATATCGACCCAGATTCTCAAACAATGCACCATTATCCGTAAATAGTTTCTAATTCAGATCTATAGGAACATTAATCGGTCTGCCATAAAGCAAACCTTCTTCTTCTAGCATGTTAAGTACATATTTCCTCTGGGATAAACAAATATCCTGTTTAGATCGAGTCATCTCAATACCCAAGAAATATGAGTTTTTTCAAATCCTTAGTATAAAATTGATCTTGCAAGAAGATTTTTAACTTGGTAATCCCCTCAGAATCATTTCTAGTAATCACAATATCATCTACATAGACCACCAATAGAACATATCCAGCATCCGTCTGTCTATGAAACACAGAATGGTCTTTCGGACATCGAAGAAGACCAAATTCTAAAACTGCATCAAAAAACTTATCAAATTATGCCCTCGGTGACTGTTTCAAACCATATAAAGATTTCTTTAACCGACATACACTCTTACCATACTCTCTTTGAGCAGTAAACCCAGGTGGCTGTTCCATGTACCTCTTCAACCAAGTCACCATGTAGGAAGGCATTCTTGACATCTAACTGAAACAAGAGCCAATCAAGATTAGCAGCTAAAGAAATCAAGATACGAACAGAGAAACTTTTGACAACAGGAGAGAGAGTCTCATAATCAACACCATAGGTCTGAGTAAAGTCCTTTAAAACAAGCCGGGCTTTGAGACCCTTCATAGAATCATCCAGATAAAATTTAATAGTATACACCCAACGACAACCAACAGTTCGTTTACTAGGAGGTAAAGGAACGAGATCCCAAATTTTATTATGATGTAAGACATCCATCTCCTTCTCCATAGCTTTCCTCCAACCCGGATCACAAAACGCATCCCGTAAGTGCTTAGGAATATATATAGTAGACAATTGAAAGGTAAAACAAGAGAAGATAGGAGACAAGACATCATATGAAACAAAATGAGCAATGAGATGATTAGTAACACACGAACGAGTTCCTTTTCGAAGAGCAATAGGTAAAGAGTCTAAATTATTTGATGTACCAGGATCAGAAGGCGCCAAGGAAGACGGTAATGGCACCTTAGTCGATGGGCAAGAACGACGAGACAATACACGAAGAGGTAAAGTAGATGGTAATACAGTAGGCAATGGAATATTCGAAGATGAGAGAACAAATGGTGGTACAAGAGACGACTCTAAGTCTAGATCCAAAGGCTGAGCAGGTGCCGAAAAATATGGAACAGATTCCTCAAACGTGACATTGGCACTAGTAAAGTATCGTTGCAGAGAAGGATTATAACAACGATACCCTTTCTGTGTGCAAGAGTATCCAAGAACAAGGATCAAAATTTCGTTTCGGTTACTTAAAAAATGGAAACATTTCGACATGTTTCGGAAACGTTTTGACTCGTCTCGAAAACAGAATAAAAAAAATAAAAATTTAAAAATTATTTTTTCAAAACATTGGTCGAAATATACCAAATTATCTTCAAATATCTTTAAACATTCTGAAATAATTGTGCAAATTCATTGAAATATAACAAAAAATTTCAAAATATTATGAAACACTTTAAAGTATTAGAGTTTTAATTCCATCACTGATTTGTTTCGGTCTATTTGGAAATCATGGTTTAAAGTCACGGTATCGGCTCTCAACTCGGAGGGCACTGATATACATCAGTCGTGGTGTCGCGGTACGGTATCGACTGATACGAGTAAAATACTTGATAGAAGGTCCAAAAAATTCTAATAAAATTTCAAAGAATATAAAAAAAATATAAACAACATAATCCATGCATCATATGTCCTAAATAGATAAGATTTAAATCATAATTATTGTCTCTAAGTTAACTATACAAACCGGGTAAGTTATTTTCATCATAAGGATAAATCTAGATATAATATAACTTTAATACTTATTTATACATAGTCAAAAAAGTTAAAAAATACAAAAAACATTATCTTAACTTGCGTTTTAAAATATATAAATTTTTTTGAGAAATTTTATCTTACTTATAAATTACATATGCATTATGTTTTTAATTGTAAAATCTCTTTATATGTATATAATTAATAGAATATAATTTTATTAAATTTGACACTCTTATTTGTCTACTATAATAATACTCAGTATAAAGACTCAGTTGAGAGATTTAGACCAAGACACAAATTCTCTTAAGCACCAGCAACGGCGACAATGACGACGGCGAGAAAGAGAGACGTTACCCGCTTACCGTTGGCGTTGCCTGTGCGAAGAAAAAAAGAGGGGCCGCTGCTTTGACGTTCGAATGGAGAAGAACGGGTTGTAGTTGCTACTCTGGCACTCGAATGGAGAAGAAGGGGCTGTACAGTATAGCCTGTACTATAGCCGTTGTATGTACTGTACATGATCTACAGGTTTTTCTCCAAATCCTTTCAATTTCTGTTTTAGGTTTTTTGATTTCTTCTACTTTTGTTTCTACATCTTTAGGTCTGAGAATCTTCATGTAGAATTGGTCTTCTTCTTCTCTCCATCTCTTTTTTCTGGTTTTTTACATTGATCTATTGATGACTTGGTCCAATTGGAACGATTTGACTCTGATTTCAACTGATATCTTTGAGTCGTGATTGAGTCAATGCCGATTTGTTTGAGTCTCGTGTTATTCGCGTACCGTGTAGTGGTCTCGGTGCGGTGATGGCCGAGGCGGATACAACTCGGCTGAGTCATATTCGACTCGGCCGATACTTCGAACCTTGTTAGAAACAGAAACGTTTTAGATGTTTTGATTGTTTCAAAAAAATATTTTGATCCTTATCTAAGAAATACACATTTGGTAGCTCGAGGGTCAAGTTTATCAAACTCAGGATTCAAATTGTGAACATAACAGACACATCCAAAAACCTTAGGAGTTAGGGAAAATAAGGGCTTACCATGAAAAAAGGACAAAATATAGACTCTGCCCATTTAACACAGAGGATGACATACGATTAATAAGATAATAAGTAGTAAGAACAACATCACTCCAAAAATATTGGAGAATATTCGTCTGGAATAACAGGGCACGGTGACTTCCAACAAATGATGGTTCTTGCGTTTTGTAACACCATTCTGTGGAAAGGCGTAAGCACATAAAATCTGAAGAATAATGTCAGTTTTACTATGATAAATTGAAAAAGGATCAGATTCATATTTCTGAGCATTATTAGAACGTAAAATACGTATACGACAATCATACTGAGTTTTTATTTCCTTGTAAAAAGTCTCAAATATAGAGAATAATTCAGACCGAGTTTTCATCAGAAACAACCAAGTCACACAAGAATAGTCATTCACAAATGACACAAAATAAAGATATTTATTAGATGAAATGTTCTTTATTAGACTCCATACATCAAAATGTACCAACTCAAATGGACTAGACACACGATTATTGACTTTAGACTAAAATGACACACGGTGATGCTTATTAAGTTGATAAGTTTCACAAGACAAAGACGACACATAACTAAGACTGAGAATTTGACGCTTCAGATTTTGGAGAGAGGGATGTGCAAGACGATAATGTCATTGAAAAGGAGACAAGAAGGTTTGTAGAGCTTGAGTAGGTGAATCAAAATTAAAGTAACATAGGCCACCAGTTTCATGCCCCGTACCAATCTTCCTCTTCGTTTTGAGAACCTGAAAGACACAATAAGAGGGATAAAAGGTTACAGAATAATTGAAAGAACGGGTAATCTTGCTAATGGAAAGTAAACTAAAAGAAAACTGAGGAACAAATAACACGGAAGATAGGGACATATTAGGACTCAAGTGAGTAGTCCCCAAATTTGAAACTTTAGAACAAGTATCATTAGTAAGAGTAATACTACGTGTGGAAGTATCAGACTGATAAGTAGAAAAAATATTAGACGCACCAATCATGTGGTCAGAAGCGCTAGAGTCTATGATCTAGGGACTACGAGTGGAGGTCAATAAACAAGTGGAACTAATACTTGACTGGGTAAAAGTAGCAGTGGAGGGAGATGGAATAGCCTGCTAGGATAAGAACTAAGCATACTCCTCTCGTGTAATAGTAACCGACCCAGTGTCTGGTGAAGTTGATCGAGGTATGGAAACAACAACAGAGGTGTCATCCTGATAGGAAGCCTGATTCGCAGCACCAGAAGGTTTTTCGTGTAAATCCCAACAAAAATCAATAGTGTGCTCTCCACGATCACAGTGAGTACAAGAACGAGGTCTACAATGGCCCCCACGACCACCCGTACGACCCCCTTGACCACCACGTCCATCTTGATGACCATCACTGTGGCTATTAGGAACTACAAGAGTTAAGCGATCAGTGGAGATACCATGATCGATGCCTAAAGTAGACAAAGTAGCACACTGTACACGAGAGAAAACCTCAAGGAGTGAGGGAAGACTAGTACCACCCAAAATCTGAGAACGAATAGCCTCATATTCAGGTTTTAATCCTACTAAAAATCTAACAACATTCAGGTTCTCATGTTGCTTCTGCCAAAATACCGAATCAGTAGTAAACAGATGGTAGGTCTTTCATCTTTTCACAGACTCCCCGAACGTGAGAGTAATAATTCTCAACGCTCAGAGTACCCTACTCCAGCCGGAAGTACTCCTTGCATACCTTATAAGCTCGGGTAAAATTACCTATACCATAATACATAGTGGCCAAGTAATTCCATATCTCTTCGGCAGTGGCAAGATAGAGTAGAGTAGAGCTAATGCTAGACTCAATACTATTCAACAATTAAGAGATAATTTGAGTATCTTCTTATTCCCACTGATCATACTCAGGAGGGTCTTCCTTGAATTTAGGATTAACAAAATATTTCTTAAAACCTTTGTCTCAAAGAAAGACTTGAATGGAGCGGGGCCATAAATTATAATTGGTCCCATTGAGTTTAACGGAAGTCATGAGACCATTAAGAAGAATCGGAGAAGCAGAGGTAGGTGATAAAGATGGAGCAAGGGCGTTAGCAACTTGTTTGGGTTCCATAACAGTGCAACAAATAGCAAATAAGAGAGTCTTAGTGGTTGGTTAGGCTGCTGGATGACTGAACTAAGCAAGAGGAGTGCACTGGATTGTTGAACCGAACTGGGAGAGTTCACTGGCCCACTGAACCGAACAAGAAAAGTTTGCTAGATTGCTGAACTGGACATGAGAAGTCCACTGGACTGCTGAACTGGACAAAGGAGGTCCACTGGACCACTGAACCGGACAAGGGATGGCCATTGGACCGTTGAATTGGACAAGGCATGGCCACTGGACTGCTAAACCTGACAAGGGAGTTTCACTGGACAGCTGAACCGGAGAAAAAACATATGAAACCGGTCTGAACCGGTATAACCCTTACTGAACCGGTGTAAACCTTATTGAACCGGGGTTGAACCAAACTTGGACCAGTCTAGTCTGCAAGCTACTGGATCTGGATTTGGATCTATCACCCAAACCCGAAACCGACCCAGTTTGAGTGCGTCGTCTTCTTCACCAATAAACCCTAATTTTACCTTCACTGTCGACGACACCAATGGAAGCCACCAACGTCGATCACACCGGTCGACGGCGTCGACCTCCAGTAACTACCACCACCATCAGACGAAGTCACCGATGTCGATGACCAGCAACCACAAACGTCAGCCACACCACCACGCAGTAGTCGACAGCGCCACACCACCACACCAGTCGAATGCACCTCACACCCAACACCAACCAGCGACTACCACCATCACCGGACACCACACAATTGCAATTGAATAAGAAACCCCCAACGTCGACAACAACAATGACAGCGCCGTCACACCCAACCATCAACTACCACCACCACCAGACTAGGAATTTCGACAGTAGGCAAAACAACGACAACTTGAGTTAATATTTGGATTTAAAATTGTTTTCTTCTCATAAGTTGATAGAATTAACACAATATTAGAAGAAACGGAGAGTGGTCAAACTTAACCTATCTCTCATGCATCACTTGTATTTATAGTTAACTTACAATAATAAGAAAGATGAATACACCCTCTTATATTTACACATAATACTCTAATACTCTTAACAATTTAAATATAATACCCTAATACTTTTAACATAGAAAATTTTACTACTTTTTGATGGAGGCCTTTATGGTCCAGCTTTGTGTACATTACAGTTTGGAAGTTGAAACTTGGACATCTGAGACATAATGTTGTTCTTGATGAGTGCGAGTTGAGAAATAGCAGGACTAGAAATTGGTGCTGATGTTTGAACTTGAAAGTAACGCTCTGAGTTAACTTATGCTGAAGAGTATAAGATGGTCATCAAGCAGAGCAAAAGTTTGTGCCAGTAAAGAGTATTATTGTCAAATCAATGACTTTTCAAGGATAGGGGTTGCGTGCAGTTCTCTTAAATTTGATGAGTGGTCCTTAAAAGAGGCATATTATGGCCGAATGTATGTAGCATATCACAAATAAAGACACGATGTGTTAACCTCAGTTCTATTTTTCATTATGAGTGAAATAAGTTATTTCTCTCTCGAGTTCAGTGGTTAATATCTTAATGGCGTCACTGTTGGTTTTCTGTTTTTTGAGTAGTTGTCATCATTTTTGTCATAGCAGAGGATTTCTTTGTTCTTTTTACACCATCTATTTCATGTGCCTTTTTACTTATCTTATTACATATTATTAATTCTTTTTCAGTGGCGAGACCTGCAATACTTGTTAAAGATTGTGAGATGACTGCTCCATGTGGGACTACAATTCTCTACCCAACAAGTGGAGGCAACATCCATTGTTTCAAAGCAATCACTCCTTGTGCTATCTTTGATATCTTGTCCCCCCCTTACTCTTCTGAGGATGGACGACATTGCACTTATTTCCGGAGGTCCCCAAGAGGGGATCTGCCTGGTAATTACATTTCATAACTATTCTTTGACGAAAGATTGTTGTTATTAATTACGTAATTACACTGATAAATGGCTAGCTACCTTACCTTCATAGTGAACATGTATGTTTTTTTTTCAATGAAGGCTCTCTTGACTTAAAAGGGATGACAGTTTCTGAAGTGACGTGGTTAGAAGAATTTCAACCTCCTGACGACTTTGTGATTCGGAGAGGGCAGTACAAGGGCCGTGTAATTAAAACCTGAGGGTTTCTTTTTGGTGGTATCTTCATTTGGCCAAATATTAGGGTGAACACTAGTAATATCTCTCGATAGCAATGAGAAGAATTGATTTTGTTGGCCTCATAAGTTAGTCATTGGACTTGTACATATATATGCCATATAGTTTCATCAATTTACTGACCTCACCTTTAACTATTTTGACATTGTCTGAAATTTGGAAGATGTCAGTATTCTAATACTGTTTTTACCCGAATTCGCTTTTTCGTTCAGAAAGCCAGATGAAATCTTTTGGAAGGCAGGCTGACGGTTCTTTACATTTGCTTCATCTCCTGTTAACTAGCAGCCAGGTAGGTGTGTCTACAAGTCAAGTAGTAGCGTAGGATCAGAATTTGGTTTGAGCAGAGCTTGCCATCTGACTCTTACTTGAGTCTGAATCCAAGTCCAATTTAAAGAGTGTGATTGTAATCGCATCTGGAGTCAAATTTATGAAGATACGGTCTGATTACAATAGTACTTTGTGTATGTTTCATGAGAATATATGATAATTTATCTTGATGTTCAGCTACATAAGATAAAATTGTGAAAAAATCTTACTTTTTTTTTTCTCGGATTAGTTTTGAAAAGTTGATTACAAATATTTTGAGGTTCGAATTGAGTTACCTGATCTAAGATATATGCTTGGATTGGTTTTCGGATCTTGCCTTGATTCTCACATAGGTAAAGCCGTTGACAGTCATAAACCCCCTCCCTGTTAGCTGCTGCTGCTACTGCTTTGAGTTGATTCATTTTGGTTCGGTTGAGCCTCCGACTTATTATAAGTCTAACCAAGATTATAGTGTTTTGGGTATCTTTGATGCTTTCGTGAACTCAATGGGGGTGATTTTGATATTAATTTTTGGCTATTTCAATGAGGTTAACAGTAGTTGATCTGATTATCTCAAGCATTAGCTTGGGTTGTCCTGATCGGCATGTGTAGCCCATTGGGCTAAAGGAATGCAGCTATTGACTAGCCCTTCACAGCTAAACTAAAAAAACCCCGCCTTTTAGAGCATATCAAATTCACTCTTTATTTTTTCTCTTTTAGCTACTTTAACTAGTCAAACACAAAAAATTCTCTTTAACCCACTCTCTATTCCACTTTCTATTTCCAAGTTAACCCAAATGGCTCACCAAATATGGTGAGCCTCTAAATTCTCTCTACATTTTTTTTCTCTCTCTGTATATATGTTTTATTTTTTTTAAATTATTGAAAGTTAGTGAAAGTTGGGTGTAGTAGTTAGCTAAAATAGAGAGTGTGGTTGAAGTGAATTTATAAAAATGGTTAGCTAAAATAATAAATATATTATTTAAATATATTTTAACTAGTTATTTTAAAGAGGAGAGTTAGAGATGCTTTAAGTTGGGAATATTCATGAAGCCTTACGGGTGCAATTGGCTGCGGGTTGTATGTGGTCTCACACCACACAAGGTCAAATCAGTCGAATTAAGGGAAAAGATCATGCACATGGCTGTGCCAGCAAATTGAACGAGTAGTTAAAAGGGACCATATTCTATTTTTTATTTTTTACTCGAGACAAGACGGGAAAAGAGATTTTTTTGGTTTATTGGTCAACAAATGAGTAAGATATAAACTAGTATATTTCAAGTTCTAAGTCCTATTATTTGCATAAAATTCAATTATGACCAATGTTGGGTTTGTCCATGTGTGTCTACATTTGAGTTTTGTGTTGCAATCATAAGTTCAAGCAACACATAGTTGGAATGAATTTTTGTTGCATAAAAAAAAAAAAAAGATGTGGATAAGGTAATTTTATTGATGTGAAACAGTAGTAGGCGCTATTTGTTAATGCTTTCAGTTTTCAAATATTAAGAATGGAAACCTTTTTTTTTTGTTTTTTGTGAAAATTAGAAACAAAGATATCGTTTGGTTTATTTGTTGTGAAAATTGGTCAAAAGTCGAGCCTCTTTTAAGTTATTAACTACAAGCAATGTAATTTTAAGGCATTCATGACATATTAGATATATATATATTTATTTTCTACTCCAATCTAACTGAATTATTATTTTTTAATTACTAGAGTGTTAGATATTGGTCGGGTCACGGACTCGATTTGGGGCGCCCATGGTGGGTCGACCCAAATTAAAGAATGTCCAAAAGGGCTTGTTTTTTAGATGTATTATTTACCAACAGGTATTCTTTAGCACTCAAAATACATGTCTGTTAAATATTAACAGACATGTCCTTATATGATGTATCTCTTAATGACACTTATTGGTTGCTTATATAAACCTAAGACAATCTAATAGATGAGGCATCTTCTGACAAATACTCAATCGTTCAAGTCTCCTACTCTATTTCTCTCTCTCCCTACGTAACGTTAAAAGACTTTTGTGTTGTGAAAACTCGGTGTTGATTACTATTGTGTAACAACACCATACTACTCGAGTATTCGAAGAAAAGACGATTTTTAGATCTTAAAGTACGTGGAACATCCTCAAACGATTTTTTGATTAAAGCAAATAAAGTATGCCTTTAATCCTACGTTTTTGCAATATGTTATCCGATTTCCAACATTGGTATAAGAGCCGATTGAAATGTTTTCATTTTTTTTTTTTGGCATATAAGAAAAGACTAAAGTTAAACATTTGGTTTGAAAAACCAAAACGATACTGTTAGAGTGGGCCTGGAATAAGGATTAGCCACTGTGAGCCGCGTTCACAAATCTGATCCTCGTAATGCCGCAACGAATTATGAATGAATTCATGATATCTAAGAAGGCGACGTACGTTTTGATTTCTGTTTGTTTTTCCCTTTTTTTTTTTCTGTACCTGCAATTGTAAAGAACACCATTCAGAAGGCATAAACACAGCAAAATACATGTTGGAAAACATGTGGTGGTAGGAGACCCACGTTTTTCCTTTCAAAATCACAATTGCACTTGATTTTCTTCATGACCACTATTATTTTTTTTTCTTCTCAATTAAAAAAAAAAGGGAACCTTGAAGTGTTTTTTACTACAAGTGTATTGTTAGTACATATGGCAATAAATTGCATAAAATATAATAATGATGTATGTTAGGCAAAAACGCCAAGTTGGATGTTTGCTATTCATACACATGGGTTCGTGGGACCCAAATAATGTAGTGATATAGGTTTTGGTTTTATTGATCAAGCACTTATTTCATTATTTAGCACAACTTAAATTAGAATGTCATATCTCTAAATTAAATTGCATGTATTTTTATCTAAAGTAATAACATGCGTGATATAAAATTAATTGTGATACGTATGCCTAGAGATACTAGATCTAGTGGAAGTTTTATTTTGTTCGGTATTAGAAAAGAAAGTTTTGCGTATTAATTAAATTAAGTATTATTAATAATCACCTGTGGTGCGGGAGATGATTGGGAACTTAGTAAACTTTCGATCTTGCGACTTGTGAAAGTTGTTAATACTTGAATTTAGATTTTTGTGGCAAAATTATAGAATGTGTTGTACTAATATCCCATATGCATTGTCTTTGCATGTAGATTAAATCATAACGACTACTAAAATCATAGTGGCTGAATTAACTAAGGGCAACAAATTGAACGGCGATAACTATGACATGTGGCATCGTAATATTCAATTTGTCTTGTATGAGCAACAAGTATTGGATACCCTTGACTCTGTGATATTAGAGCCTAAGCGACCTCAGACCCGCCATGAACAAGAGAATTACCAATTTTGGCAGAATAATGATCGACTTACGCGCTATACCATGCAAGCGAGCACGCAAGATGATCTTATTTCCGAATTTGAGAATTACTCTACAGCTCACGTCATGTGGAAGGCTCTCAAAGAGAAGTTTGGTATTACTTCTCTTGTTAGGCTTCATGGTTTGACCATGAGGTTTGACTCGTATCAAAAGAAGCCAGAGTATACAATGAAACAACATCTGAGGGTTATGGCCTCTATGATACGTGATTTAGGCGCTGCTAGTCATGTGTTGACCAATGAACAACAAGTTCAAGCTGTACTTCGTTCCCTTTCACCAACATGAGAGCATATGAAACGAAACATGATGCATAATGAGAGTGTGAAAACATTCGAGAATCTATCGTGTCACCTTGAACTTGAGGCTGAGCACTTGGAGGCTACCAAAGGTGAGAGTAGCTCTTATGTGGCTAAAGTTGGCTTGCGCAAAGCCTTTGGGTCCAAACGCAAGTGTGGTGGAAATAGGTTTGATGCTCAAACTGGGGCTGGTTGGTCTAATTATAATAAGCACAAGCGAGGTAAAAGAGCTGGTAAGAAGAATAAAACCAACATAGTCTGCTATAACTACAACAACAAAGGTCACTTTGCTCGTGAATGCTCTGAGCCGAAGACACAGATTCGGATTTGTGGAGTACCGTCAAGTTCCAACTAGAAGCAAACGAATTTATATGGGGAACGAGACCAGTATAGATGTGCTTGGGATTGTCACATACAAATTGAAATTGTGACAAGGGCGCACTTTATACCTTCATGATGTATTATATACTCCAGGAATCCGATGAAATTTGTTGTCAGTTACTAGCTTAATGAGATTAGGTTTTATTTTTTGTTTTGAGGGCCAGCATGTTGGCATTTATAGGGGAACTACATTCTATGGATCTGGTTATATCGCATATGATTTTATTGTATTAGATATTGATCATTCTAGTAATGAAATTTATTCTTATGTTACATCTATGGATAATACTGATTCTAATAGATGTCATGCTAGATTAGGTCATATTGGGCAAGACATAATATATAGATTAGCTAGAGAGGGTCTTTTGGGCCTACTCGCTAAAATCAACTTGCCCATATGTGAAAATTGTCTAGTAGGTAAGGCAACTAGAAAACCATTTGGAAAGGCCAAAAGAGTATCTATTCCATGGCAATTAATATACTCAGATATATGTGGCCCAATGAATGTGAAGGCAAGACATAGTGCATCCTATTTTAACACTTTTATAGATGACTTTACGCGCTTCGGTCATGTCTATTTGATTTCTCA